CCCCCAGATCCCCTAGTGGCTCACCCAATCGGTGCTCCTGTGACTCGTCGGACTGTTTGAAAAATATCCCAATTTTACATACTCAAAAGGTTGGACAGTTTGTTGAAGTATTACCCATAAAGGTTATCCACAAACCAACCTAGGGACTTGTGATCTCTTTCCTGTGGCAATGATGTCCCTGGCAATGATGTCCCTGGCCCCCGCCTCTTACTGACAGCCATGAATTTTAAGTGAAAAAAGCAATTATTTAAAAATAACGTATGTAGCTACGCGCAAATATTTTGGGTAACCTATAATTATATGCAATTTGTTATTAACACACTATTACCGAATCATCCTAACGGTATTTACCCCTGACCTGTGTGGACACAGCATCCCTTGTCCAATGTACCATAAAAGGGGGGAGCACAAGTTTTTCTGGTTTGTTTTTAAGGGAGGGATAATAAAAATTTTTCCCAATGTGACTGACAGGAAACTATAAAGGAAGGGGCATGCAGCAAGTTATAATGCAGTGGTTTGATGAAGATGAGAATAACTTCCACCTTTATCAAATTCCACGAAAAGCCAACACAGCCGCCTTGTCACGCAGTTGCAAACCGAGAAAATTCATCTTGCATGTCGGCTTATTTACAAAACAACAACAACAACCGCCTGCAAAGAAGATCAGTGCTGTCAACTATCCCAGATAATCTGGCTGTGTATAAAAGTGGGACGGGGATAAGGGGACGGGGACATTGGGACGTGTGTGTGGGGACTTATGACTTGGGGCTTGGGGACGCGAGACGAGGGACTCCAGAGGATATCAAGTATGGGATGCGGGGATGTGTGGGACGGAGATGCGGGGACGTAAAATACAGGGATGCAGGGGACGCGAAATGTGAATAATTATTGCAAAAGTCGGAGGTAAATGCGATATCTCTTTCTTTGCGAAAATGTGTTATTTATGATTCCATCTTCCAAAACCACATTGGACACCTTATGATGTTTACACAAAATATTTCTTTATAATAGGAGTAAGTGCACTGACTATCGTGATTAGGGTTAGGGTTGATTTCCACTATCGCACAATTTTACCATGCCTACGTGCGTAAAATTTACATTGGAAAATAAAATAGAGGCAATGTCTGAAAGGTCGCACGTAAGTGTAAAAGTAGAATCGCGCTCAACTTCACGTTTAATCTCAACAATTTATATCTTGGCTCTATCTTATTTATGTGATTAAAATTTACTTGCGTTAACGTGCATAGCCAAAAACGCGTCAGTGGAAATCAACCTTTAAGTACTGTTAGCAAGCATTTACTGTTAGGTTTGCCCCTAAAAATATGTAGAACACAATAAATATTGCTACAATAGTTGAATCCCCCCCGTGGATTAGTGGTACAGGCGATGGACTTTGGAGCTAGCACTTCGGGTTTCAAATAAAGCTCGCTTATGCCACTTAATTTTTATTTATTTGGAATCGAATGCTGTTATTCTACTAAACTTTTGGCGACTGCAACCTACCCTACCCTGCTTTGGGCTCCAATATTCCATCAGCAAGAAGATGAGGACAACGGTTTCACTTTCTTCAATGCAGGGGGTCTTCGCCGAGTCTTCACTTTGTAAACAGGCATGGAGGAACCCTAAGGAGGACAGGGTGGGTTGCCTTCACCAAAACATATTCATGAGGAAGGTGACTGATATCGCATTTACCTCCGACTTTTGCAATAATTATTCACATCCCGTGTCCCCTGCGTCCCTGTATTTGACGTCCCCGCGTCCCCGTCCCTCACGTCCGGGCGTCCTAAACTTGATGTCCTCAAGTCCTTCGTCTCGTGTCCCCAAGTCCCGATGTCCCCGTCCCCTTGTCCCGTCCCACTTTTATACACAGCCAGATAATCCAGGAGACTCCAGATTTTGTACCATATCTCCCGGTTTCCTGATTAGAGTCTGATATCTCCTGGGTAATCGGTAAAGTTGCTATTTCTTGTAGACTCAACTTTCTGACCATAAAATTTCAAATATTTTACTTTGTTTGAGCTAATGTTAACATGGAACGTTTCCCCATAAGGGACCTGTCAGAAATTAGCAGAGGGGGAGGGAGGGTGGAAACAGAGGGAGGGACACAACTTTTTGAGACTCAGAAAAGGGAGGGGTCATAAAAAATGGACAGTTAAAAGGGGAGGGTCATGCAAATATAAGCCCATGATCATATAGAGGTTCACCCACAGAAGAAAAAGGAAGATCTTTATTTGGTAAAAGAAAACCAGGGAGAAATAGGAGAGTCAAGTGATTAGCTGTCAGAATCAGAGTCGGACTCCTAATGCTGTCATCTAAAATGTATGTATATAGCTATAGCATAACAAAGAACAGATTATTTTGAGTTTTCATAATACTGACTCACTCTAGTGTATTTCAAGAACTAGTTTTTATCATTTATGCAATGGGGGGAGGGTAATGATATTTTAGGCCAAGCTCAAGGGGAGGGTTAGCAAATTTCACTCCCTCCTTATTTCTGAACCCAGATGTCAAATTCCCACCCCCCCTCCCCCCTGCTAATTTCTGACAAGTCCCTAATTCAGGGTGAACTACTGACCCTAATTCAGGTAAGCCACTGTAATTTAAGCAATAATGTGGCTAAATATGAACTGTTTATGCGCTATATAGGTTGATCAACGAACAGTTTTTGCACGCATGACTTCATTTGTCGTGCGATATGACGTCATCCCTATCATTTCTTCCTTGAAGATGGACTGGTTGAGTCATGCAATTTACACTTAAAAAAGCCCTGAAGCATTTTAGAAATTTCAGTTCTTACATTAATTAAAGGAATGGTTGTCTCTATAATGTTTCGTCGAACACGGGAGAAGAGGAAAGCCTACCTTCAATTTTACATCTGGGCCAACAGACATTGTGCTGCTTTCCTGTTGCATAAGTAGTACATTTCCATACATAAAAATACGCCAAACGACGACAAATAAGTCAACAAATGGTTAGCCGTTTAAGCCGCGGTATTGAAGTTCGAAACAAACGGTAGATACACTTGAAAGTGCAGGCTTCAAACAAGCATATCCTTCTGCCGCCATCTTGATTTCTTCTTGGTCCCAGGTTCCACTCACAGTTAAAAGAGTGATGAGGGGGAGGGGATGGGGGGGGGGGCTGAGACGGGTCGCAGATCAAGTCAAGAACTCTCAATTTTTACCGCTTTAACAAAAATCAGTAGCTAAAAAACGCTGTTTTCAGTACTAACAACAGAAAAATTTTCTCTTGTGACTGAATAATAAATCGATAATAAATGAGACCCTAAGAAGACCATGTCAAACGCGCGTGTACTGAACTATTTTCAGGAGCCAGTACATCAGCTCCTAGTATTTTGTTACAAAATATGCTTTATATATATTCTGATAGGACTTTAATTTACCCCAAGTTAATTGCAAGTACATTCACTACAGCCAGTTTTCATTGTGTGTACATCCATTGTCATCCATGCTTTTTTTTAGAATCCCTGTAGAAAGCGCGCTATTGAAGCTGTAAGGAGACTTGAAGAGAGAAAGATGGTAATGATGATATCTAAGTTGGTGATGATGGTAAAAACGATCATGATGTTGAAGATGGGGTTGATGATGATGATGATGATGGCTGTACGTTTTGTTCAAATTTACATAAACGTCCCGGGGGGGTTACAGGGGGGTACTCCGGATTTCAAGTGACGGGGATGATCGAATGGGGACAAAAATCAAAACTCAAAAAATTCCTTTAGGCTTCCTACAAAACCTCCCAAAATCCCTCGACCAAAAAATCCCATGCCGAATCACTCCGAGCCTTAGATGAATCAACAACTCCCAACGTTGTAGCGCCAATAATGTTGCGTGTTGTTGCGTCCTTGTTGCAGTGGTATGCAAACGGTTCAACAACTCCCAACAACACGCAGCAACATGGAACAGGGTGAGCAAGCGGACGCAACATGTAACATCCTGACAAACGTTGGGAGTTGTTTCTACTTGCTGGCCAGCAATGTTGCGTCCGTTTGCACTTTGCACGGGGCTTTCGAATTGACAAGGAATAAATTCTCTGCCAAAAAGTAGACGTGCCAGAACCCCCTCTAGGAAAAAGAACAGCTGTGATTCGATTCTGGTAAGCGAACACTTAATAATTCGCTTTTGGGGAGGTCGCTTATGGGAAGTTCGAATCAATACTTGTGTGCGATTATCGGAGACGAAACGAAGAGCGGAAGCCAAGTACATATTCAAGGATATACAATTCAGTGATTAAGAAGATTACATGAGCTAGGCCTCAGGTCAACTGATTTATCGTTCACTCACATCGGGATGTATAGGTCGAGCGCGGTTGCTAAGTAAGAGGATCAACAGCTGATCTCACAACTTGCGTGTTAAATAGTTTGACATATGAAGTAGGGTTTTTCCAAGGTACGGGAAGAAGAGAGACCCTCGGCTAGCCTGCTTAAAAGGCGTTATTTTGTTTCGCGTTTTTCAGGCGTGCGAAGGCAAGGACATGGAGAGGCGTGGAGCGGGAGACACGCGGGACGTCGCGCGCGTCTGGTGCTCCTTGCTCGCTTTGCGTCGCGCTTACCTTCGCTAGCTAACAAAACGCGAAAAAAAAAGCAGGTCTGTTCTGCAGGCTACCCTAGCCGGGGACGAAATTGGACCTCCGGCTCTACCAGCTCAGATTACTCTACCTCGCGCGAGCCAATAACTGAATGATGAATAAATAACCACACCATACTGCAAAAATCGTCTTTATTCCTCTCAATTAAGAATAGCTCTCGTTATAAATCACTCTTTGTTGTTACAATAAAATTTATATCAGTTAAATAACCAATTTAAATCACTTAAGTACAATACAAGATGGTAACATCTTAGAAGATTTTAATAGCTCGATAAGAAATGGTAATAGGACTTCGTGTCGTACAATTCGGGGAGCAATCGCGGGAGTAACCTCAAATAAGCGCTCAGATATGAAATTACGAGCCCGATTACCCCTGAATTGTTCGACAAGAAGTCCTATTACCAATTAATTGTGTCAATAACAAAATGCGAGAACCTCAGTCTTGGAATATTTATTAATGTAAACATAAGTCATTGGACCACTTAGTTTAATCCACTTTTTTTCCAGTTGAAGCAGGACAGCTTACCTGGTCACTATTTTTTCATTGATTTTAATTGGTTATCACGTGCTATGTAGTCAAATTTCATTGGCTAGTGGCATTTGCCACTTGATTTTCATTGGTTCTTTAACTGCCCGATTTGACCTATCCGATTACATGCTCCTGGTAATCTGACAGTTATGTAGTTACAATAGCAAAGTTAAGCTATAAATATTGGCTGTTAAGAACCAATCAGATTCAAGCATTTTGTTATTGACACAATTACAACTGTAATAACTCTTAATACAGCAATGTTCCATTCATTTTCTATCATCGTACAATCATTATATTAATTTCCTACCTGTTAAGTTATGTGGCGTTTATCTCAACAAAGCATTTTGGAACCTTGGACCGGACTAGGGAAACTGCTATGCCAAGGTAAAACGTATCTGAGGCGTGTTCACGCTATACAGGATAGCTTTTAACCCTTTAAGTCCCAATAGTGACCAACATCAAGTTTCTCCTAACAATATCCACATGTTGCCAAGAGAAATGGTTATGAGAGTTAATAAAAAGACCAGTAAAGAGGAAATGCTTTGATCTGTTATCAAGCTCTCTCAACTAATTCTTTAAAGAAATGTATTAAGATCAATATGGAGAATTTATATGTGGATATTGGGGCTTAAAGGGTTAAGCTGGCAGGATAACCACACTGGATAAGGGCTTCGGTTCACACATAAGCACGGTGATTTGGCCGCGATTTCTGTGACCGAGTAAAGCTGCGCGCGCCGATCGCTTAACCCTTCAAACCCAAGGATCAAAACTGAAATTCTCATTTGTTGCCCCTATTCATTTCCTATAGAAGTAGTGGGGAGAAGTCGATAAAATATCAAGCAAATTCATCTTGTGTGATCATATCCTTAATTCTCATGTCCACTCAGTTTTACAAAGCATCGACATTACACGGAGAAATTTGATGCTGATCACTCTTGGAGCTTAAAGGGTTAAGAGGAGAGTCACACATCGATAGGTGTTCATATTACAACGAATAGCTTTTTCTGTTGGCACCAAAAGCTAATCGGCAGTTGTTTAACAGGAGCCTATATGGGCTTCTGTGTGTAACAATGAGCTACAACGTATCTCGAATGTATAACAAGGGCCATATGGGCTTCTCTCTATAACAATAAGCTACTACCGTGTGGCACGAAATTTTTGCGGTAGTTCATTTTTGCGATAAGGAAAGATTGGTTTTTCTTGCTGGGAATTAATTTTTGCGATTTTCAGAAAGTACCAGTACCCAGTAATGATAATATTTTCGTTTTTATTGAGTACGAGCAATAAAAACGCACATTTTCAAACAATAAACCAGTATTTCGTTGTATACCGTTTTGTTTCCGAATGAAAGAGACAAGTGATTAAACAGACTTGATTTCTTAGTACTGTATTATTGTGTAGCGAATGTAAGTTAGAAAAATTTGTTTACGGTAATTTTTATTTACGGGAACTTATTTTTGCGGATTGCTGGAAAAATCACAAAAATTAGAACCCGCCAAAATTTCGTGCCACACGGTATTAAGACTATTAAGAAACTCGCGAGAAGCCTTCGTTTAAAAGGAACCAGGTAACGGCTGCATGAAGCAACTTTCGATAAAGTGGGAAATTTTTGCAAACGTTTCAACGAATTCATGTTCTCTCCGTCAAGGTGGATAAATTGACATAGTATATTATCCTGCTCCATAAGTGTTTCCTATTGGCCCTGAGAGCGGTGGCGTGAGAGCCTGGGCTGGGACTATGAGAATGTTTCGGGGGCATTTTCGTTTCTTTTGTTGGCTATTACGTAACTGGGTCAAGATTTTTTCCCAAACCAGTCTCAGCTCAGTTCCACGACCTCGGCCCAGTTGCTCGAAGCACGGTTAGCGTTAACCAGCGTTTAATACCTTGACAACGTATTGGTTTTGATACTGCTTAACCAATGGTTAAAGCTAACCATGCTTTGAGCAACTCAGCCCTGAAGTATGAAAATTTGCACGCAAACTGCCCTGTTTGTATTTTTTTTCTCTCAATCCGGCGGCCGAAATAATGTTCAATACGCTTTTCAATATAATTTTAAAAACAAAACCGGGCAATACGGAAAGAAGAAGAAGAAGAAGAAAAAAAAAGAACAAAGAAGGGACCTTCACGACCATATTCGCGGCGGGTCTCACGTCCAGTTTCTTACTCCGCCCCACAGAGGTTAACTTGAGTGACGCTAATAAAAATCCGAGTTCTGCGAGGGTTATTGCGATATACGAATTTCCCGTAACAGTTCTTCAGCCTTCCGCGCAGATGCTCTCAGGGGATCGTCACGAGTTCCTGGAACGCGTGAAGAACCCCTAAGAACGTCTGCATGGGAGGCTACCCCAGAAGTCATTGCGAAAGTTGACTCCGTCCAGTCTCCTCTCTAAAGTGGCGAATATTGCAAGTATACCAACACCTACCCAGACTCGAGCCAACGCTCAAAATGGCTCGTCTAAACGTCAACGTAAAAGAAATAATCAGAATAAGGGAAACGGTTGCAGAAAATTTTCACTTTATCTTAAGTTGCTTTAGCAAACGGGTCCAGTAGTCCAATCCAATCAAAATGGCAGCGGATCCATGACATCATTTTCAAGAAGGCCCTGGCTCTAAGTTGCTTTGCTGTTTTAAGCCGTTTGTAGGGTCGTTAAGCTTTAACAAACTCTTGTGGCCCATCAATAGACGGCTACGAAAAGACAACGCTCACTATTTACAATTATCAGGCACCGCTCGTAATAAAAATACAGAAAAAATTATAACAAATTCTACTTCCTGAAGAAAACAATTCAACCAAGCTCCCAGGCCCCCACTAGCAGGAGACTGGGGAGTGGTTGTCAAAATTTTGCGGAGGACCTGGAGACAGTGAAAATCCATTTTTATGTAGACAGCCGTTATTACTGGATTATTCCACAGCTGTAGCCGCTACAAGCATTGTGAAATTTTGATTTCTGGCGAAAAACCATGTCAAAATATGTCCTATACGGCAGTAATTCAGAGTAAAAAATGCAGACCACTTAACTTGGAATCGAAAATTCTGTCGACCAAATTGACCAACAAATTATTATTTTTTTTTGTTAGCCAGTATTGTATACTTAAGCGAGCAAAAATATTTTATGGATCCCTTTATTGATTACTGCAAAAAAAATTTATACCATCGCCCGGCTAGAAGAGATTGTTTTCGTTGATTTTCAGAAAACATCACAGAAAAGGAAACTAGTTTACGCACATTGAAATCCGGGACAACCTTGCTAGAGTTACAGTAGCCTGAAAAAACAGCCGACATTTGGCGACGCTACCTCTGGTTTCCCCGCCAATGACGTCAGAGAAACAAGCGCAGAAATTCCATACTGTTTAGGGGTTTTAGTGAGTTTAAGAGTGAAATAACATTAAATGACATGCTTTATAAAATAACCTAAAAATAACAAGCAGCTTAGTTTTTTCGACCTATCAATTAAAAAATAAATCAGATAACAGCTTATAGCTTGCAAAAAACATAAAGAACAAAATGACTATAACAAGGCACTATGGGCGAACATGTATGCCGCCATGCACGAACCGTGAAAGTAGATTTATATGCCTGCAATCCTTGCCAAATTATGCAGTGGGTTTGTGGGAAGCGGGCTGAAAAGGAACAACAATGAAAACTTAAGTAAAACATGAACAAAGACTTTTGCGCTCGTTCTCTGCGTTTGTTAAATGTAATCGATTAAGTGTAGGGCTTGTAAATTTACAGTTAGCATTTTAATACTAGTAATGTACAGGTTACTAGTGTACTTTTAAATTTTTTTAAAAATTTGTATACACGTACACCTTTTAACGAGAACTTTGGCGCTCCTGGGTGTTACGTGTCTGAATACAGGATTGATTTGATCCTTGGGAAGGCCAAAGCGGGGGGGGGAGGGACGGGGAACGGGTGGCTTACTGCCATATATGGGCTATACACGGCCGTGTGCGTTTTCAATAAATTTCGAAAAACGCTCTGGAAAGTGGATCAAAACGAAAACGCATACATATCGTATCAGCGTAGCAGGTCGAAAACGCATCACAATGAAAAAGATGACCGAAAATATCACAGGCCCGTGTGTTTGTGGCATGCGCATAGAGTTTAACTTACCTCACAACATGCAATTCTATCGTTTCGAAAACGCATTAGTGGACAGGACTCTAGAATAGGGTACTAATAATTTTCCAAGAAACTTATCAGTGGTTTGATGATTTTAGTCTAGACTAGGGAAACCGGGAATTGACACTCGGAAGTTAACAAGCTATTCCTTAGCTAACCAACCTTTTCTGTTTATTAGCAGGAGCCTTTAAAAGTTCCTTATATTGATCACAGCGGATGAAACGTCGATAGCTGTCCGACTTCATCAGCTGGAAAATGTGATCCTAGGAATGGAAATAATAAAAAGATGTAGAACAGTGTTGCTGGTTATTTTTGTTGAGAAATCAGATGACATTTTTTGGTTTGAATGACTTGTGAATGACAGAAATGTGATGGTGAATTTGGAGCCAGGTAAATACATCAGAAAGATGATTTTTCAGTCAGTGACTTAGGCGGTTCGGAAGAACGTCCAAGAACGTCCTCGTGGAATGCTACTCACAGGACAGGCTTTAATACCGGGGCGTCTGAATAGGCGGGAAAAAACCAAGAACACTCCAGTCTCTGTGTAGTCTGCAAAAGAGGGGTTAGCTTTCCGCAATTTTCAGGCGAGCGAAGGCACGCGCGAAGCGAACAAGGAGCGCACGACACGCGCAGTGGGGGAAGGCTCTACGCCATGTTCGTACTTTGCTCGCCTGAAAAACGCAAAAAAAAGCGCCCGTTCTCCATAGAACACCAGTTAATTCATCACAAGCGCTTTTAAAATATCGGATTTTGTGCAATACCTGGGCTGCGTCAAACATGTATCGTCCAGGATGTTTCAAGTTTACTTCCACTTCTTCTCTGGTCTTGCAATCCACGTTTATTGGCGACGTTGCACTTTCAGATAAATATTCACTGAAGAAAAGAAATAAATAAATAAACAGAGTGATTTTAGTCCTTTTTTCAAATATTTCGTCTTACCAATTGTTTTTAAGCCATCATGTCTAAAAATGAATAGTTCATAGGGTGTTTCACAAAATGGTTTAACGAGGAAGAGGGATTGTTACAGTTGGTTAGTGGGCAGCCTGTGCAAGAGGTTCCGAGTTCCATTCTCGGGTGAGACAACGGATTCCTTTTTCCCTTACTTTCCGTTTAGCTTAAAAGTAGCTTTTAATACCCGTAAAACGGAGCAGGGACTACTTACTTAAATATTTCTTGGGCTTTACTTGGGACGTTTTTCACTGGCGTCGCTTTCAGTTGTTCACAAGCTAGCCAGAATCTAAAATGGCAATCAGAATATAGTAACGAAATGCATTAGCTTACAGGACAGTATATTTGCACAATGTAAATTTAAATGTTTCTTTAAGCCAGATTTATCACTTTTAATAAAAGGTTTATTCGGTCAGTGTATAGAGACATGAAACCGTTAGATCTGGTAGTGACGTAATCACTCTGTGCAGTTAAGAATAAAATAACATAAGGTAAAAAAGGTAAAGGCGCACACGAGCTAAAGACCCAAAAGGCCAGAGCTTATCTCGGTTTCTTTAGCATGAAGCTTGCCTAGTAGTATTGCCACTCCCCCCCCATTCCCCTTTGACGGGATGTTGATCCATCGCAGGGTTACCCGCCAGCAGCATGTCGCCGGTACCCATTCACACACCTGGGTGAAGAGAGACAGGGCTTTCACTAAGATAACTGATTTCAAGTTGCCAGGTAAATACAACAAGTGGGCGGGAAATTAAGCAGTTAGGGATTTCTTCTGGTTCTATTTTCTTCTATTTTCCTATGGAAGTAGCCGGGGGTTATATTCATGGAAGCCGGGGGAAATCCCCGGTCCCCGGCCCTTAATGACAGCCTTGAAGTGGAGTAAAGTTCCTTGTCTTCCTTCCTTGTTCCTTGCTTGAACCGGTTACCCCCGACCTCCAGATCCGGAGTTCGAGGTGTTAAGCGCTCGTTCACACACGCCTCCACAAATAAATAAATGAATGAATAAATAAATAAATATAAGGCTTCATGGATTGATGAATAAAAACAATTTACGATTTGCTCTGGTTCAACTCCTGATTGGTTGACAAAGCGACACGAGACCTTTTCGGCGAATCATAAAGCAGAAAACTTAAAAACCTCAAACTTTAACTATTTGACAGTCAAACTGACAGCACCTTACGGGGAAAAATCTTTATACTAACAAGAAAGAGCAAAGTTCTCACCCTAGATTTTCAGCGCTTATTTCCTTCTCCAAAAACCGTGTAAAGTGTCTTCTTCCCAGAGGATCAGCGAGGAGTTCAGATAAAGAAAATCCCCACATCTTAACACGACGAGGAGGTACATAATGCCTGAAAATATTGTGCAAAGCGAGGTAAATAATGGGTCCGTGGTGGAGTAATCTTTCAAAATACTTTTAAAAAAGAAACTATTAGTCTCGCCCGTCTCGTCATGCAACGCTCCTCCCCAACAGGAGCGTTGCGTGACGAGACAAAAACAGCTGCGAGGGAGACTAAGAGACTGTCGACTTATAGTCCAATGAAAACCGTGCTAGTATAACAAGAAATTTAGCAAAAAGATGTCAGCACTTTAAACAATCACTCTTTTAATACAAGCATTAGAAAGGGTTATAACACTTTGAAGTCATATGTTAGAAAGAAGCCCCAAGGGGTACTCAACAAAACTTTATACGGGGAGGCTCCACCCAGGGGTAAAACCCTTAGCATTTCAAATACCATTCTTGACAGAACAGGCACCCTATTAGTAGACCTTTTACTAACAAATGGTAGCCCCCTTCACATATTCACACACTAGGTTAGAACGCTGCATCACTTTTAACTGCTGTAAGTGCTCCGTCTTTTAAATATGAATAGATCACTAAACCAGGAAGTTCTTCTTGTCTTTTTCATAACCATATAATACGCCTGTTAGCACTGTTAGGTCCTTTCACAGACCACAATGACAGATTTCCTACCCTTTCATATATTTCAAGTAATGAAATCCATACCCTTTCATATTTCTGGAACCTGAAAAGTGGTTCTCCTTTCGGGTGGGGCCTCCCCGTACGGGTCCAAATAGGGTGTATCCCCAGGGAGAAAAAGCAGTTGTAACGAGAAACATTATCCCTAGGGTTTACAAACACGATACACGAACCTCCTTAGTCCTAAAAAGAAACATCATGGCATCAGCTGAAAAAGGTTTCCCTTTCAGGTGAAGCCTCCCCATATGGGTCATAATAGGGACTACTACCCGGGGGAAAAAGCAATTGTAAAACGAAACATTATCCCTAGGGTTTAC